TTAAGAGAGGTCGTCCGTAAAAATCGCCTATGGCTGGAAATAGCCGAAAAATCAAAATCGCTCAAACTTTACCAGAATGTAAGTTGGGTCGACCTAATAATATMAAAAAGGTTKTAAGTTCAATTGGAAAAATATTTTTTGAGATAAGTCGACATTTGGGTTTTCCCGGCGAGTGACATGATTTCCAACGTAATTTGACCTGGACCGGAAATAGCCCTTTAGAGCTGGTAATTCACGCGCAATTCAACTCTTTGCTTTATTTCTGTAAAATATAGTTATCAAAGAAGGACAGGCAAGTTCAAATATTGTATTTCATTCAAACGTAAATATTTCAGCAATTTTTRAAGTTGGTCTTTATTTTGGTCAAGGTTTTACCGTATRCTTTTCAAMTCAAAATATCGCCACTGATACCTCGAACCAGATAATAAAAACAACATCCAGATGTRCACCAAGGATAGATCKTTTGATATGTCAAATAMAAKTTTTGGGCTATTTARAATTTAACGAGTRTTTTTGAGTTAAAGAACGATCAAATTTGTCAAAATTGATTGAGTACTAAAGGCGGCAAAATCAAAGAAATTACCAAAATAAAATTGATTTGGTCGTAATATTCATCTATTAGTTATTAAAGATATAAAGTGGTGTACCTGCTAATCATCTGTGAATGGGACAATTATTTTGCTTCCTAATAAAGTTCTGGCATTCTATACTTTTACATGTCATGCCTAAGTTCTGTTCTTTATAGGCGGTAAGTATTGTTATTCAAATCAAAATTATTCCAATTCAAATAAAATACATTTGAATGACAACTGTTAAGGTGTTATATGGAAATATGAAAGTAGAGATTTCCTTTTTTTCAAGAATTTGGATTTATATGTCCAGGCAGAAATTCAGATTGTTTTGTATGGGTTAGTCTAGTCCTAACTCCCAACCCCTTATCCTGTTAGTAATATATACAATATGAGCGGGCGATCTATATGAGGATTTAAAACAGAGAGCCGTTTTAAACCTCATACAGATCGCGCGCAAATATTGTATATTACTTATGAAACGTTGAGGTAAACTACAATCCTGGACAAAATGGTTGAGAAAATTGACACGCGCGTCCATTTCTCAGGCATATATCTCTATATCTTGTGAAATTTTGAAGAAAACTGAACCCCCCCTCCCCCCAATTCAATGTTGGGCTATGGATTTATGTTCGTAGAGGTTCCTGACACAACATTGGATGATGGGGGGGGAGGGGAAGACAAAATATTATCATTGCAGGACGAGCATAGGATAATTGTGTCTTGTCATTAGAAAATTCTCAACTCTTTTTGTCCAGGATTGTAGCTCAGGTTTTAAAGAAACTTTTGAAAAAAAAATCAATCTGACCGAGAAAATCAGAGTTAAAGTTTATGCAAATGAACAAGAAATCTGTATGTAATATACAACTCTCTTCATGGGCTATGATTTCTATTGTGTTTTGCCTTATGAATATTAATGAGTTTTATAATACATGATACTGAATTTTAAACTTTCATATTTTATTAAATCCAAACAAATGAATTCATTCACAAGTAAAGCATGTGAAATTCTGTACAATTCTGTACTGTGACAACATGTCGTATGCTCTATATTTTGCACAAATCATGGCCAGGTGAGTCACATCTCCCATTCCTACCAAGATAAACAAAATCACCCTCAACACTTGTCAAATCTCATATTGCTCTGCCATGTTTGATCAATAGACCCCTTGCAGTTCATGGGAATGCAGCTCCAACTGGAGGATAAATGAATAGATTCTAGTTCCCAAGAGGATAAAAATCTTTTGTTTCGCCCTCCAGATGAAGCTGCTTTGACGTCACATGCAAGGGGTCTATAGCTGGAATAAGGTACAACCTTTGTATGTAATAGTATGTTGTAAACCCCAATGTGCTTGAAAAAAATGATAACCATTGCTGGATTACTTCCAGTGAGCAGTTTTGATGCTGTTAAAAGCATATTCCCCCAAGACATAAGGCCATGGCATGGTTAGTATTCCAAATTATGTGATGTCCATTGATACATACAGTCATATGACCTCCAATGTGATCATAGTACCACTCTCCTTTCAGTGCCATAGATGGCTAAGCTTCTTTCTGGCATACATGGCAACTTTTGAAATTTTCTAATAAGCAGCTCTGGAATACAATAAAATTTTCTCCGAATAGACATGATTCAGTGTTTCCATGTGAGGTCTTTTAGCAATTCTTCTTCATCTAAACCATAGTTAGACCTAAGGATATAAATATTGYCCATTGCTTTTGTTTGTAATAGACTAAACACTTAACGTGGGTTCATATATAATATAGCACTACTATAACCAGTCTTTGTCGTCATAATTGTCATAATCTCGACGTCGTCATATATTTTTGAATGTCGATGTGGCCTTTCATTGTCAGTTTCAATATTGTCATTTTCAATATTACAAGCCACGGCTCTTAGGTGTTCAACTATGCTTTGCTTTATGGATTTCAAGATTCTAGTTACAAGAGAAAAAGGAAATACTACCTTTGAGTAAATTCTTACGTGTATTTCGAATTGTTTTCGAAATTGTTTTCAAAGGTTTCTCTACAAAGCCGGCGGTATTAACTTAAGTTAACTTATCTTCAGTGTTGATCACTCAAACAAAATTGGCTATCAAAATCTACAATCTTACCATTTTTGTTAGTTGTTTTTTCGACAGTAGATGATTCGACAGTTGAAGTATGGGCATCTGCTTTCCCACAATAAGAATGTCGAGTTTTTCTTCGTTTTATAGATTAAAATTCTTGTCGAACACGGCCTGTGTTCTGGTGGCGGGAAGTGTACCGTCGAAAAACCGGCACCATCTGTGACGTCATTGGAGGCGTCTCCGACTGACTTCCGATTAATTACCGAAAATGAACGACCGGTCAACGGAAATACAACACTTTTCAATCCCTGATATCTCGAAAAATAAAAATCTTCCAGTTTTCTCGCTTCGCGTATGTATTGAACATAGCAAGAACTTCTTTTTCCAAGTGTTAAAAAATCATCGAATTTTCCGTTGCATTTGACCTTTAACTCAAAAACACTCGTTAAATTCTAAATAGCCCAAAACTTTTATTTGACATATCAAAAGATCTATCCTTGGTGTACATCGTCTATGTTTCGTCTATACTTGCGTTTTCTCTCCCTGCCAACAAGCCTGCGTTGTTCTTCACTAAGACCTCTTCGACGTTCTCTTTCTCTTCTTCTTGTCTTTTCTTGTTCCGATAAAAAGCGTAAGCGTTGTTTTTCCGACATTTTTGGCGCAGAAGTAAAGAAACAAATGTCATTAAGGTGAAAAAAGTTGTTGTTTTCCTTTTCCCGCCTTGTCAAAAGCCAGCCAATCAGAATCGCGATGTACACGGACGTACGTACGTATGTATGTATGTACGGAAGGACAACTGGGATTCCTGTGTCGGTTGATCAAGAATCATCTCCATCAGTTTACCATTTTTCCTTAGTTATGGTTCTCCGCTATAAAGATTATCGCCTTCGGCTCGTATCTTTATACCTGATAAAACACTCTCTCTCGTGTTTTAAACTATACATACAGAACTAGATGTTTCTACTGTAACAAATCAGTATCTATGGAATAAATAAATACATAAAAATTGATAGAAAGGCAATTTTTTTCAAGGATTCCAAGAAAAGAACGTTAATTTTATTATAGACTTCTGTGACAATAATGGGGATATATAAATTGGGACCATGCACAAAATGTGGGTTTTACCGAAAATGATAAATTCAAATGGTTTCAATTGTTTCATTCTATACCAAAAATATGGAAAATCAGTTTAAAACTAGACATAGATCTTCAGGACAAAAAGAAGGAAAATTATTTATGCCGCTCCTTGTACCTGAAAGGGAAAAAGATCAATTTACAAAAAATTACCAGTAAACAAATCTATGAACATTTAATAAGTAATATTTTTAAACCTCCATCGGCACAAAAAAACATTGAGCACAAATTAGAAATGAAAATTGACTGGGAAACAGTGTATAACCGAATTTATACAACAACAATTGATTCTTACCTGAGATATTTTCAATATAAAATCATTAATAATATCTGTCGTGACCCCAGTGCATTATGGGTTTTTGGCCCACGAGGAAAAGCTAGCGACAAGACGACACGAGGCAACTTGTGAACTACATGTATAAGGTTATGTTAATAGTTTAACCAATAAAGAAGAGAACACCACATGGTAGCAGAGCGATATCAATGAAATCCTGAAAACTAACTTCTAAGCAACTACTACTACGATGATTGGAGCACTCAGACAAAGATTTGGACCTACACGAAGAAGAGTCAACGATCAAATTGAACAAGCAAACGCTCTGACTAACAAAGCTCCCACTCCACGTGAGTTGGAGAAACTAACTAAAGATGCCAAAAAACTACTCGATCGACTGGAAGCAAACTTCACGACACTAAAAGAACTAATGAACGACTTAATAGAAGCAGCAGAAGGCGATGAATTTGAAACGARGCGAATCGAACACGAATCAGAGGACTTTGCGACTCTAACTTTGGACGCCAACGAAGCCATTGCAGACTTACGAAACTTTTGGCAAGATAACAAAGACGAATTACTAAAGAACGAAGAAAAGATCCAGATACATGAACTACGAACTGAAATAGAGAAGATAAAGACTACAGCAGCGAACACTACTAGTACTAGTAAAGTAAACACACGTGAGACATCCGTCAAACTACCGAAGCTAAGTGTTCCAAAATATGATGGAAATATACTAAAGTGGCAAGAATTTTGGGATTCTTTCAACTCATCAATCCACGAGAACAAAACATTGAAACCAATTGATAAATTTAATTACTTGAGAGCACAACTCGTCGGTGAAGCAAGCGCCGCACTGTCTGGATTGGAACTAACTAACGATWACTACAAGATCGCCGTAGAACTACTAAAGGAAAGATTTGGACGTAAASAAGCCGTAATCACAGCTCACTACACAGCACTCATGGATATTAAACCTACCATTGAAAATGACACTCAATCATTGAGAAAAACAGTTGATTTTATTGAAAAACATTTTAGATCACTCGAAGCTCTTGGCGAAGATAGCGAGCACCAACACTTCGTGTCATTAATTTTTTCAAAATTACCCAGGGACGTGCGGATCCAACTAGAAGAACAGAATAAGTGTAAAGAATGGACAGTACAATCGCTTAGAGAACACTTACGAAATCATTTAACAGCTAGAGAAGCAGCTCAAACACGAAATTTTAACACAAAATTTGTACACAACAATACTAGGCACCAGGCCCCTCCCGATGATGAAAGAAAACAAACATATACAGCCGAATCTCTCTTTGCAGGAGAGCGACCAATTCAACGAAAACCTAAATGTTTTTACTGCAAAAACGATCACCGTCTCAAATCAAGACCTTCAGAAATTATGCGCATTTCGATGAAGATGCTTTTCGTTAGGACTTGAAAGGTGTTAACTGGAACTTTGTCTCTGGTCCCAATGGACCTGCCCGCAGTGTTGATGAACTTTGGCGTGAGTTCAAGCGGAAATTTGTCACGATTGCTGATTGCCATGCTCCACGGGTGCAACGTCGTGTACGCGGCATCGACAATTGTCCTTGGCTAAACAAGAACATAAAGGAGACTATGCGTCAGCGTGATTACTTTCATAAATCAAGCTGCCAATGGCAACATAACTCGGAGATTGTGAGAGCTGCTTTTGCAAGATGGTCAGCTGTATTTTGAGCATTATATTAACACAGTAGATAAGTTATTTATTTACAAAAACATGTAATAGGTGATCATTAAAAAAAATCATAAAAATAAGATCAGAACAATATTGGGAAAAATGCAATTTAACATTTAAAATTGGATTAAAAAGATAGTATTAACTAACAAGATAAGTTATTAGTGAAAAATTTGAGTAGCTAATGCCTTCATGTATTGAAAGAACAAGTGAATTGGTATATCATAACTTTGTTTTGAGCTCCTTTGTTGAAGTATGAAATCCACATTGTTG